TTACTGATGTTCAGGAAAAACCCTGTGATTCAGTTTGTACCCACTGCTTCTTGTCCCATCACTGTGCACCACTGAAAAGCCTTACCTCTGTCTTCTTTGCACTCTTGTTACTTCCACACATTGATGATGTTCTGTCTGAACCGTCTCTTTTCTGGGCTGGACAGTCCCAGCTCTCTCAGCCTTTCCTCACAGGAGAGACACTCCAGTCCCTCCATTATTACAGTGGCACTTTGCTGGTCTCTGCCCAGCAGCCCCACATCTCTCTTGCACTGGGGAACCCCAAACTGAACACTACACCCCCAGTGCTCCACACCAGGGGAGGAGCTGCAGCTGCCTCAGCCTGACCCTCCCAGGTTACCCTGGGTGGCTTTTGCTGCAAGGGCACGTTGCTAGCTCATGTTCAGTTTGCTGTTCCCTTGGCCCCCAGGGCCTTTCCTGAAGGATGATACCCAAACAACCTTACAATTAATGTTGCTTTTACTTCCAAACAGGCAAATTCTTTAATTCAAAGTAGCAACGAGGGGTCTCAAGAATGGCAGATTTATACTGGCTAAGATGAAAGGCAGAATCTCGACAGGTCAGGACAGAGAGACATCTGCTACTGAGATAACAGAATGAGATCAGCAGGGCCATCAATTAACAGGATGGAAGGAAATAAGAAGGGTAGGTCAGATAAAGAAGTAGAGCTGAGGGGATGATTACATGATACATGATGGTCTTTCCTGAAAACACGCCATTATCTCCTCCCCAGCTCTCTACAAAACTGACTCACTACTTCCACACAAGTTCCTTGCAACCTTCCAGTCTCAGAATCAACAATGCCTGGTTCTGGCATTACACTATGATTTCTTGAAGTCTTCTGAAATCTGAAACACTGACAGATTGAAAAGAAAACCATCAAAACAAAACCCAAAAGAAGCCAAAACAGAACCAGAAAAATGGCAGGGTTTAAGCAACAATGACATGGCACCAAATTTGACTCATGAGAATGGCAGCTAGCAAATCCTTCCAAGGAAAGAGAAGAATGAAAACAAGTGTTGTCATATAAAACCCATGATTTTGCTCACAGTGGAAACAATCTTGTTTCCATTTTATAAGTAACTGTTTTATGAAACTATAAATACAGAGAAAATGAAACTGCTTTCTTTCACAGCATAGCTGGAGACTGAGTATTACTGACAGCTTATAACAATTAGCAATGAACAACAATTTATCTTCCAGAAAGTCACTGCCACTATGCCAGCTTCAGTACAAAGATCAGAGAAGATGTGGAAACCCTTTAAGAAAATCAAACCCTACCCCAGCTGAATCAATACAGTTCAAACAATTTAAAGCTGTACCCTCTATTGTACCGCTTTCTCCAGCCTGGACTCCTGCTTCCTGCATGGTCTCCTCCTTTGCTGCAGTGTCCATCACCAACACTGTGCTTCCAGAAGTTTCTTCCACTTTAGGAGCAGTTACTTCTTTTGTTTCCAACTCCTGTGCCTCCTTCACCTTCTCTCCTCTGGATACTAGTTCTTGCTTTTTGTCTTCCTGAGTCACTGCTGAGGCTTTCATCTGAATAGCTGCTACCTGGGTTCCAATGGACTTTTCCTCCATATGACCAGATTTATGAGTGATATTGGTCAGGTCCAGACTTCTCACCACACGTGGTTCTAACTTGTGCTCTTTTGGAGTGGCTTTTACTTTGGGGTCTCTTGCTTTGGATTTTGATGTTTCCTGGCTGACTGATGTTTCAGAAAATTTGACCTGCTTTACAGGAGACACGTTAATTTCCGGTTTGCGTGGCAGCTTCTTAATTCCATATTCTTTGAGGGATTTCTGGGACAATTTATCTTTTGCCAGCATTGATGCCTTTACTGCTATGCTCTCAGAAAAGATGGGATCTCGTCTAGGAAACTCAACTTTCGTTTTAGTGGGAACTTCTGAATCATCAACATTTTCATCCTCGGAATCTGAGCTAGAATCTGACTCTGAGCTGGATGTCTGTTCCTCAGCTAACTCCTTCCTCAGGCCTCCTCCTGTTGCAGATGTGGTCAGGTTTTCCTCCTCAGGGGAGGAAACAACTCCTCGCTGAGGAAACGAAACCTCAGTTTTTCTTGACATGGCCATCCTTGTATCTTCAGCAGGTTTTGCAGCTTCCTCGAGGTTGGTACTAGATATGCTCTCACCTTTTTTTGCAGACCGCAGGAGAGAGCTAGAGGACAACATTTTACGAAATTCAACTGGTGCCTTCATGGCAAGCAGCTTGGTGCTTCCCTGTGGTGCCACTACATCTAGGAAACGGCAT